TCTGGAGGTGTCACATATCGAGGGCAAATATCTAAGTGTAGGGAGAAGCATGTAAAAGGAATTTGAATGTAGAAGCCAGAGGCAATACAAGGCTAGGACAAAAGAAAACAGAATTATGGTATCCAAATACTAGAGTACAGGGACAAAGGAGTCCAGAAGCACTGGAGCAAGACAAACGATATCAGAATGCAGTAGGCAATTGCAAGATTTTCGTGGGACAAAATAGGCAAGAATGGCAGGTCATGAGGATGATCGATACCAGGATCATTTGTCGTCATGGCAGCAGATGCAAGGATCAGACATTGTCAAGGGGTAATGGTCGAGTGTCTAATGTTGTCAGGATGCACAGGACATAGAAGTCCATGTCCAGATAGTGTCAGGAGGCAGGATGGCGCACAAACGGAAATCAGGACATGACGTCAGACCGACATCACATGCCTGTTAGCGGTTAACGTTTTGAGTGTCCTGTGCATCTGACGTACCGGACGCACAGGAAGGAAGGAATTATTTTTGCTCATGTAGTTGCTGTTCAGGTACATCAAACTGCCGAGTGAATGCCACAATATTGGGTGCATCCTCATCTCCAATTTCAGCAATAGCTTCTTGGATTCTAACCTCCTCCTCAACATATTTTTTACTAGACATTGCGACATGGAGATGTGGGGAAGTTAAGAAAGAGGCAAAGGGTAGAGGTTGGCTGATGATAGTGTATCGTTGAGCTGTTACTATCGTTGAACTGTCAGGCACTCCAGGGGAGTGCCACCTACTTTGAAGGTCGCATAGCGTCATTCGGAGTGGTGGGAACCTTGGCACGGTTAGACCCTTGAAGGGATTTGGGGTGCTTGTTCGGGCTAACTTTTTCATTTTCCATTGGGGCACTGTACTCGAGTACGGTATCATACCGGTACAGAGTCTATCGCAGTGAGCTTTCAGTATTTTCTAGTTCCGACGGCGCAACTGTTCCACGCTGATCCGCTAGCCTAGTCTATGGCGTAACCAGATTCTGCTCCACTATGTGTATTACCTCTGCACATTTATGCCAGGGGGAGAATCGGTGAATGCCGTAGTCCTTCAGGTTTTGCTAATATCATAGGTTTTACATACGGTATTTATTAGACCACCGGTGGGTAAAGGTTAGGGGCAATAGTAACCCAACCCCCCCGCAAGGAGCCGGGGCTGCAAAAACCAAACTGTTGGCCTAAAATGAGGAGAATTTGGGGCTTTACTTTGGCGTGGCTAGCTGCCCTCAGTTGTTTACCTTTCTGAAATGGTATTATACAGTAGTACATTATCGCTGCACGAAGTTATCTGAGCTCTCAATTCTTGCCAATTTTTTCTTCAAACTTTGCCTTTCCTCTGGCGACATGCCGGTAGTATGTGCGATGGAGCAGAATCTCACTATTCGCGGCCTGGGGACACTGTTATAGGGATCCGTTTACTCGAGATGAAAGAGTCTGGTCTAGATTGTTCATTCCTCGAAATTTGTTTCAACCAATCTTGGCATCGACGGGGTGTTTGACTACCATGGTTTCCCTCGTACCGTGCAGTACCGTACCACGGTAAGGTGCCCACACTTTCCTGATAACGAGTACCAGTAACCGTGCCAAGGTTCCCACCACTTTGAATGACACTAAGTGACCTCCAAAGCAGGTGGCACTCCGAGGGAGTGCCTAACAGTTCAACGATAGTAACAGTTCAACGATAGAATAACCATCACATCACCTCCCATCGTGAATCCTTCAATTTTTCTCAAAACCCAGCAGCAACATGTCCAACGAAAAATATGCCACCAAGGAAGCCAGAATCCAGCATGCAATCAACCAGGTTTTTGATGATAAAGACCCTAATATTGCTAAATTAGCACGCGAGTATGATGTTCCAGAGCAGCAATTGCGTGAACACTGGAAAGGTCGTCAGTCACGCCAGCAAAGAGAGTTACCAAACCGGAAGCTTACATCAGACCAGGAGCTTGGTCTATATTAATACTTGAATCAGCTAGACAAGATTGGAATTCCCGCCCAGTCTTGTCATATCGCTTCCTATGCAAACTCCGTACTTGCATCAACTCATTGTGATTCCATACCGCCTCCAGTTGTGAGCAGTATGTGGACTCGTCGCTTCCTCACATGTCATCCCGAATACAGCATACGGAGGCAAAAAACCCTAGATGTTGATCGGAAACGGTCTCATAACTGTGATACCATAAGCAACTGGTTTCAGCGGTTTCAGAAAATAAAAGAAGAGAAGGGAATCCAGGATGCTGATACCTACAATTTCGACGAGACCGGAATCTGGATCGGTATTGGTAGAGACCAGTGGGTTGTGACTCGCAAGTCACAACAGCCTCTGTTTTTGGCGAGCTCTAGTAATAGAGAATTAGTAACTGTTGTTGAGTATGTGAGTGGTGATAGTACAGTACTTCCTCCAATGATTATTGTTCCTAGTGCAATGCATATGGAGGATTGGTATACAAAGACCGAAATTCTGGACGACTTTTTCGTTGGCATGTCAGAGACCAGCTATACAAATAACCGATTAGCATTTGATTGGATTCACTATTTTGAGAGGTTTTCTGCTCACCGGCAGGTCGGAGCATGGAGAATGCTTCTGTTAGATGGTCACAATTCACACTGCACTCGGCAGTTCATTACGTTTTGTGATGAGAATAAGATTATCCTCGTTTGTCTACCATCTCATTGCACGCATCTCCTTCAACCATTAGACGTTGTCGTCTTCCAACCCTGTAAACGTTACCATGCCGAAGCACTTGATGCAGCTACACGAACTGGGTGTTCAAAGTTCAACAAAGTTAATTTTTTTTTCTGCCATCGAATCCATTCGTACCTAAACTTTTAAGTTTACAACAATCCTTTCTGCTTTCAAAAAAACAGGCCTTGTCCCGTTCAACCTCGATGTTGTTTTAGCAAAGCTACCAGAGATTGAAGAAATTGATATTCAACCGCCACGAACTCCATCCCTACGACCTGAGGATACACAGACAACACCAAAAACCTTACTCTCTCTAAAGCACCATGCCAATACACTACAGACTGACCTTCAATACCTCTCTCCAACATCATGAGTAAGCCTTCAGAAATATCTCAAGGGAAGCTTAGCGCAAGCACATAGCGGGGGTCTTGTACTTGAGGACCTACAGAATACGAAAGCGGCAGAACTTGCGCAAACTGCGCGCCAAAAACAAAGTCGCCAGACACTTCAGAAGGGTGGGGCCCTCTACGCTCATGAGGCACGGGCGATAATTCTTCAAAAAGAAGAGGAAAGTGTCGAGAAGGAGCTTGAGAAAGCCCAGCACATGCTCAACAATGTTCAGAGAGCAGCAGATAACAAGGTTAAGCGGAAGTGGAAAGAGATTCCAAAGCAAATGAGAAAGGCGGTAAAGGAGAAAAATAAAAGGCAAAAGTTGCAAAAGCTGTTGAGTTGTGAAATTGGGCGTTCTGTAATACACTTTTTTCATTCTATGTAAAAATTCTATCGTTGAACTGTTACTATCGTTGAACTGTTAGGCACTCCCTCGGAGTGCCACCTGCTTTGGAGGTCGCTTAGCGTCATTCAAAGTGGTGGGAACCTTGGCACGGTTACGGTAATGGCTAGTGAATATCCGGGCATTGCGATGGCTTATTAGCCACGCCAACAAAACAGCCTTTCCCGCAGAAAGGTCCAAGCCAGATACCGGTATCCCATTCCATGTCCGCATCCCGAGCGGAACAGAAGGCTCTCAGCCACACTCCCGTATCCCGTTTCGCCAACAGATTCAGGCCCATGATGTCGCCTATCCTCACGTTGCTTCACTCGCATAGCGCTCAAAAGCCTACCGTAGCCAGGGGAGGAATGCGGTTGGGCTATGCATTCCCTTCCCCGGGCCCCGCTAATAGGGGTTCGCGTCACCAGGTTTGCGGTCGGGCTGAGCCACGGGACCAGCCCTATCATATCCCCCAGTCCTCCTTGAATCAACGATGGAAATGAAGGGCATCGCTGGTAGGCTATCGTAGTATCTTGTGGGATATTTCATGCGGCTGGGTTGGTTGGAGGCAACACGAGAAGAGCGGACTACGGTAACTTTACGGTGGAAAATGAATCGGCACGATGCCGGTATGTCACGTACTGTACGATACCATATAATAACAACAACACAATCGGATATGGCTAATATGTCTAGGGACCTTCTTAAACTTTCTTTGAACACGAGCTATCGTACAAGTAGCCCCTCACGAAGTACGATACCCAAACATTTGAGTCTGAATCTGGTGTGGGCGCTCAGGTGTGCATAGGCAACGTGCCATGCAAAATTTTGATTCCTGTGTTCGGGTACAGTACTCGTACCTGATGTGGGATGCTTGCATATCCGGTCGGAAACATCCTAACCCGGGTGGATCAGCTTTCAGAAGCCAAGCCATGTCCCTACAGTACCATATTCCAAGCCACTCAGCCAAGCAACCGAAGCTTAACCGCAGCAATCAACGCCTGGACCCCGTCGTATTACGCCAAAACGAGGCTATATCAAGTGCGATACACTACCGAAAAATCTGAAATAATTGGGCCGTGTACTACAAGTACGGTATGTCGCTCGACTCGCCTCTGGTAAGGTCTAGTAGTTTTTGTCTTTTTAGAGAGGGCTGAACGACACACCTTTTGCTGCGTTTTCCGCCCCTTTTCCAGAGGAGGAAATTTTGGACTACTCACCACAATGTCCAATTATTTGGAATTATACGGCACCCTCAGTATGAAATACGAAGGAGATCAATAAACCCTTACCTACCAACAGGCGCCGGAGTAGAGAAGAAGCCAGGAGGTGGCGTACGGTAACATGAGGACTATTTTACCCTAACCTATGTGGGGCATACCGCCCCGCTAAAATCTGTATCATAATTATGATACGAGATATACGGTATCTGATGTGCCACGACACAGCCCAAACATCCGGGCTCATATAGTCGTGCTTGTTTCCATGGACGGGGGTGATTTTTCGTATATCATCACAGTATATCCTTTTAGTCTCCCTCTTGGAACGAAGGGACGAACGAACAAACTCTATCGTTCCCTCCTATCGATTTTTTTCAGCAAAATAGTTCCGTGAAGGACACATTTTTATTGCGCATAATACGCCCACAAACATGCCATCACCGCTGCAGGCCCTGCTCTTTCTCCTCCTCCAATCGCTCACAACCCCCGCCTCCGCTTTCCCGAGGAGAGCCCGACTCGACGTTAGCGGGGGATCGGGGGGTTCTGCTACCGGCCGAACCACAGTGTACTCCTCCCTGTATTCTCATCTTCTATTCTTCTCACTTACCGTCCCGCAGAGAAATAAAGTCCCCAGGCATAATCGCAGGAATAGCTCTCGGGTCGATCGCACTCGTAATAATCCTCCTGGCGGCATTCATCTGGCGGCGAAAGGTCTGGCAGGATCGACAGGATCAGGAGGATTGGGAACGGGCGGGGAGGAGCATGCTGGATGGTGCGGAGCCACTGGCGGCGGTGGGGAGGGATGGGTAGTTGGAGGAGGAGCAGGGGCTTGTGGAGAAGGGAGCGGAGGGGAGGGGGACTTAAGGGAACGCTTTGAGTAGATGGGCAGGGGGATGGAATGGGTTGTGTTGCCATTTTCCCTTTTGCAATTATCCCTTATTTCACCATGTATCATACAAAATCATTCGAAGCAGTTTCCCAAATGCTCAAGTCCACTCACCTACTGTAGCAGCCACCGCGACGTGAGCATCGGAAATATTATTGGCGTCACCCACTCCCGATTCAGTGGAGTTCAAACAAAAGGAATTCGCAATCTGTAACCCATCATCCCAACAAACCCTAAATGGTCAGCCACATGGCTACCCCCTGCCCGAAAAAGATAGTCCTATGCACAAAGTACCAGAACAGCCCCAATGCCTCAGGGGGATCCATCTCACCCCCAGTAACGAAAAAGGCTTCCTAGGCATGATACCGCACAACCGGCGACCATTCAGTTCGAGATCTCCACCCCCCGCTCTTGCTGGGGGAATCCCCTTAATTAACTTCTACCGACTGACAAGTGGAGGATACTATGTAGGATGAAACATCCAATTGCACGGACCCGACCTTCCCCCTCCTCCCTCGGAGAACCTATCACATCTCAACACAACACCCCCCATTTCCTGTTTTGGTAAACATAAACACCGAGTGAGATTCCATGAGTTGAGTTTGGCATTATTCACCGCACTGCTGAATCGCGACTGACGGACCCATCATGCCTACCGCCGTTTGCTCGCGCTGCGGTCCTACCGGATGTGCGATGTGAATGTGGCATTATATCGGGATCGACTGGGGTATGGGAGTTGGGATCACAAGGGGTGGGAATTCTGTCGAGTGGGAAGGGGGTATGCGGCCGGCGAGGTTATAATGGTATGGGGTCGGGGTGGGGGAAGGTGGTCTATTTGGTGTTTCTTTTTGGGAGAAGGGGAGGAAAAAGCCGTGGTGGGGGGGTCGATACACCATCACTTGAAGGAGTTTACCGTTTTACTCGAGGCACCATGTGGGGTGTACAATACCTAAAGTAGATATTGTTTGGTTGTTTTTTTTTTTAAAGAAAAAAGCTAGCAACATTAGCTACCTAGAGGTTGGGGCGAAAAAAAAGAGATCACCTCGTGATCCCTATAGTGTTCACATCCGATCATCAATACCCCCGACCCCATCCATTAAAAGTAAGCAAAAGCAAGTATACCTCCCCCTCTCCAATCTAACTTAATCCAATGGCTAAACTCTCCTCTACTCTTCCCACCCTCAACACCAACTGTAGTCTAACCGGAAACGCTGGCCCTTTCCTTCTCATTCCAGTAAGCGGCCTCATTAACGCATCTCCTGCACCCGCACTCAAAAGCCCACCCACCCGTCAAGTACTCCTGGCGAACTTGGACAAGCCTATGCCCAACCCTATCCTCGAAATAGCTCCTGAAAGCCTCATCGCCAGCGGCCAAGTCCCTCGTAGCAAAGAGTCCCATCAGCCCGCGTTCCTCCGACCACTCAAGCTCGACGTTCGGGATGCAAGAGTGATTGATCCTGGACATGGCTTCGAAGACAGCGCTAGTGGACGGAGATAATAGGATGCAATTGGTCAACCAGATACCAGCCTCGATTGCCAGTCCCTGAGCTGGCGTCCGGGGTGAGTAAGACCAGCGATGGTGGGCGTTGTGTAGGTTATAGAAGCTGCGGATGATCCGGGGGTCGGCCGGGGAGAGTGATTGCTGGATGAGGGTTTGAAGTGGGACGTCTTCGTGCTTGATTGTGATCAGAGGAGATTCGGAAAAGAGGAGCGTCCCGGCGGGGATGTCAGAGAGGACGAAGAGGGAGTAGCCCATTGTGGCAGTTTGGCGGATCTCGACCTCCGGAGGGAGGAAAGGGTGAGATTTGTTGACGGGGATGCTGAGGTTGAAGAATTGAGGAAAGTAGACCATGTTTGAGATTTAGTTTCGGGTGCTGGTTTTGAGTGGAGATTGGTTTCTTCTGGAATTGTTAGCTGTGAAGAGTTTTTTTTCTTTTTTCTTTTTGTTCTCTTTGTTCTCAACCTGAGGTAGCAATATTTGAAGCGGTAGTTTTGAGAGAAGTTGAGTGTGGAAGGTGTGGAGTGGGAGCGAATGGGAGTTGAAGGCTGGGGAGGTTAGTGAGGTGTTGTATGAGTTGCGTGGAGGAGAGTATATTTAACTTTTAGCTTTCACGATAGTTCTTAACCAGGGGTTAGGCTATTTCCACCTACCTGTAGGGCCACTCAAATATTTGGAGGCTCTATGTATTTCTATGACACCTCAGGATATAATATGATAGAGACAAAAGGGCGGTCATTTGGTATCCAGATAGAATATTCTAGTGATATTCAGAGGATCTCACTCGGATTCCCAGTTTTGCCCGAGCAATAGCTCAGCTTCTTTTTTACAGGTTTTACATAGACTGATAGGTTAACTATTATTAAACGAAGAAAGCAAGTTGGTAATATGGGATGGTGCGAATTGTGCAATTGAGTCAGTAGTCACAATCTATTGTGACCTTTCGCTGTAATCAACTACGTAAGCTAGCATTTTTGACGGGGTTGGTCGGTGGGCATTTCGCAGACACTCTTCACGAGTGACTATATCTCAAATACCACCTTCTTTTACCGATATGTGCTATCAATAGAGTCGTGTGTCGATATGGCTCTTGTTGTTTCCTGTATCCCGATGCGCCAAATAGTATCATAGGGAGGGTATCTAGACATACTCTACTTTCCACCATATTGAAGTAATACCCCCAATAGCAACTTTCCCTTTGCCGTGTTTAGGTCCGGTCTCGAGAAGTGGAAGGAGAGAGGTCATTATTTTTATGGAGTGAAAACAAAACGAGTGTCCGACCGGGGGGTGTGAAAGAGGAAATACTAGATCTAAAAAAACTGTCAATGCCGTCTTTCAATTGCGCAAGTATACTGCGGCTTCATTTGATTTCCTTTGATAGCGCCCAGGTGGTGGCTTCAGGAATTAAGGAAGTTATGGCTGGGTTAAAACATAAAAATGAAAATCAACTTAGTTAGGAGGCATTCAAAGGAGACCTAATTAAACTACTAGTGGAACGGGTGAATCAGGGTTTTATGTTTTTATTATTATTCCGGTACTACTAACACTCTCAAGCCCAAGGATTCTGGTCACTACTGATTGATGTTCCCCGTCCAAACCTTCCTGGGCGCTAAAGGCTCTTCTGACATACCAAAGATCCTTCATCCTAACTAAGACCAATCCAAGAATTCCGAGTAATGTCTCAACGAGGCAGATGCGGGATCTATCTACTCGAGTACATAGCAAGTGTTGCAATCGAGGGTGACTTTTTGGAGACAGCACGTGATATCCCCGGCTTCTTCATATTGTTGTTTATAAGCATCTCGTCCATATGTAATTTATCGTGTGTAGTATCAATTATGGGCTCCCATCCAATCATCCAAACCATTCGATTTGCGGCCCGTAACTTCCGCACAAAGGTAGTCGTATAAATGGTTCGTATTCGCTGCCGATTGCTTATCGAGTAGCTGGTTCTGCGGGCGGGGCAGTATGTTCCTTGGGAACTTCTAGACTACCGTCATAAATCTTAGGCCAGTACGAGTAGATGATATTCCCACTCTCCGAGTGACATTCTCGCTCACGAACGCCAGAAACCGTATAACGGAGCGATAATGCACATATTGTAGTATTGGCGAGGTGCAAGGGTGTGCAGCACCATCTTTGACGATGTTGTTGTTTTGTGGGTGTATTGGCAAATGAAGGCGTTGTGATGACAATGTCTTATCATGATTCTCGATTGCGATGTGAGTCAAGCACTGTCCGTGAACTAAAATTCGCTCATTGGTTCGACTGGTTAGTGAGGATGGGACTGGAGAGTGCTTGGCGGGTTAGTCAGAGATTGGTATGGTGACAATGGTGCAAGAGCTCTGATGAAAGGCAGAGCTTTCTCGGCACTACCATATTTGAGAGTAGATACTATAGTACTCGCAGGTTCTTAGCAAGTAATTCCATATGTGCTAAGTGATCCGAGATTGTGATATCAAATGCGGTTGTCGTTGGGCGATGAGAGCAAATTTGCTTGTACTGTACTCGTACTGTACTAGTACAGTAACTTAGCAGTGCAGTCCAATAGACGCCGGGAGCTTATTCTTTGCATTCCAGAACCTACTCGTACTCTAGCGTAATAGTAAGCCTCGCGTGGGGGGAGTTAATCCCTGTCCTCGCGATCGGTTTTTCGGCCTCAGCTGGTCGGGGCTCTGAAGAAGTGTACACTACCGGTACTAGTACAGTACAAATACCACGAGTCGCGATTTTTTTATCCAGACTTCCCTGGGCAAACAAAACCTCACGCGACCGAATCCATGGAAGAAAATCACCCTGCTTCGCATTCTCATCTCACCGTGGAATTGCTGGAATTCCCCACCTCTACTCCGCCGTCCCCTTCACCGTCCCCTGCCTCCACACTGCTATTACCTTCACGCGCTGATGGCGGCGCCGAAACCACTCATCGCTCACGGAAACCCGTGAGGAAGAGGAGGCGAAATGCTTCCGGGCGAGAATCAGAAGATGGAGCAACTGCTTCTCGGGTTGATTCGGAGAATGAATCAAACGAATTGGAAAAACCTCACTGTGAGTAGAGGAGGAAATTCGGGAAAGGGGTATCTAATACGTATGTAGACGCGGAAGCGGTGGACGATTGGTTCAACAACAAACGACCGCGACAATTTCCTACGGTTTTGTTTAAGGTTCTTGGAAAGATGGACCAAGAACGGGAGATTTGGTTAAAGGCAAACCCAGGCTATCCGTGTGAGGTTATTGCCGAGGCGTGGCTATCACCGCAGCTGAATCAATGTAAGCTCTTGTTGATTGAAAGTTCTCTTCAAGGGGCAAATGTTGATAATAGAACAGATCCGCACTTTAGAGGCTGGAACGGAATTGCATTTTGGAGGTGGTTGGCAATGTCGGTATGAGTTACCTACAGGATCCTGTTACCATCGCTCATGTATTTTCTAACTGATCTGTCCGAGGCAGTAAATAGACGCCAAAAGATGATCATTTTACACTAATGTAAGGTAACACTGTCGGAACCTTCGTCCTACAGAGCTGACTCCCGTCGCAGCTCTCTTGCTGGCTTGACTCAAGATATTCTTAAAGCGTTGTTGATACATTACGATATCAAAATACAGTGCCTCTACGACATGCTCTTTATAGATGGCTTCTCTGCAAACCTCCACCCCCCATCAGCGAACGGTATAATTAGCCCTTACAAAACCGAGTTTCTGGCATGGCTGAACTTTGTATGATAGTCTTTTCGTTGTGCTTTGACTTCCTTCGACAGGTGCCATTGGGCACCGAACGAAATTACCATATACAAACATTCCCGGAGCTTGAGAATTACAGACGACATCACGTATTATCGTGGAAGTGGGATCCATTTAGCCTGGAGCACAAAGAATCGTTAGTATCTCCAATCACCTTTCCTACGCGGGCTTGCTAATTACTAGCGCTAGTGATCAAGGGTTTGATATATGTCGAGCTGCCATATGGATTCGAAGAGATCTCGAGACGGGTAAAAAGACGGCGATATTCTATAATCAGCCAAAGCGGTCCAAATATATTCCCCGCAAATGTCAGACTCAGTGGCGAATGAGTCAGTTCTGTGATGATATAAATAATCGGGCACGGTCGCGGAAGCCAGAGGATATTGATCAAGAAGATAGTGAGGATATCTTTCACTTTTTGCACCGATACTTCAAATATACGTTCAAATGGACACGGGTACTTGAGTTGAATCAGAGGAAAGTCCGTGCTTTGGTAAGTCAGCTTCCATTAGGTTATATCAAGAGATACGCTAATTTATGTCTCTCGATGCAGGAGGAGGAAGCTTTTACCTCGCCGATGATTGAGACTACGAGAGATATTTATCGACAACAGTCGGCGCTAGACACACATCTTTCGATACTTAATTTGCAGAAGACAATGATTACCGCGCTTTGTAGTCGTGAAGTGCGTGATGATATGTTCTGGCCAAAGGATGCTAGGCTGTTATTTGGAGACATCGAAGATACTCTCGGTGAGAAAATCCTTGACTTTGAGAGGATGAGGAAGCAATGTGATGATATTCAAAACCTGGTTAGTACCTGGAGGACAGACCATCGGCCCTACCCAATACTGAAACCAGGTGCAATTAGATTTTCAATACAATAGCAATTGAAGAAAGCCGGGCGGCAGTTGATCAAGGCCGAAGTATTGGCCGATTAACGTGGATGACTTTTGTCTTTCTCCCTTTATCGTTTGTAGCTGTATTTACCTCTCTGCTATCTGGTCTTCAGCTCCATCATCTAATGAATGCAGTCAATACTCGGGATGAACGTTTACCAGCTGGAACGCACAAGCCTATGGCTTTACTTTGCAGTCTCTATTCCGCTCTTGGCGTTTATTATTCTTCTCCTTGTGCTTCTCAAAGCAGGAATCCTGTACAGCCAAAGTGGAGAAACCGACCTCAACTTTTTCCGCTGGGTACTCGCAGGCAGGCCTCGAAAACAGCGGTTGGCAAGGCTTGACTTAGAGAAGGGCGGGCTAACCGATAAGCTAAAAGATCGGTTGGGAGGCACTGGCCGAGCGCCGAAAGATAAGTTGCCGGCTGAGAAGGGGAAAGGAAAAGGCAATGATAGAGGCAAGAAGCAAGAGTAATGTAGAGTTGTATGGAATAATTTATGTTACGTGTGCTATATATTGTAACCGTTCAGCGACGCTACCAATCTTGAAATAGAAAGACGTTTGGTTATTAAGTGTTTCTGTGGTATGGTAAATTTATCAATAGGAAATGCTCCGCAATTCTCTTCGTTCGGGGTCGCCCTCACACAGATTCACGCCTTCCACACTGAAACCTCGAAATCCATTCTGCAGTTCCATCTAAACCCACCTCCTGTACCCACCTTGGCCGGTTCGCAAACCTCTCTGTAAGACAGCGTGTAGACATCGCCAACCTATACACTCCTCATATACCAGTTGTATATGACGCTTTAAGAGTGGAAACCTGCCACTCTTCAATTATTGAATACTAATTGGGCACTTAGATCGATCGTCGAGTAGAGAGGATTTATGGTTCTGCGGAGAGTACGCTTCTGGCTTTGGTTTTTGTGGTAGCTTTCTTGAGGGTTTTCTCGAGAATATGGCTACTGGAGGCGTTTAAACTAGATGATCAGATCATATCACCGGCTGTGGCGCGCCTCTTTATTTTTCCTCTCCTCTACCAAGTGACTAAATAAGAAGTAGGCGAGTGATCCTAAGCCAGCCCGGTCATAGTTTTGAAGAGCCCGGGTCAGCGAGGTCGAAATTACTCACAGCCGCCAGATGCCCAGCCCAGGCCGGGTTTCGGTTTCGAGAAACCGCTTTTCTGGAGTCTGGCCGTACCTAGCGCAGGACGGACCGGCTAACTCCGACTCAAGCAGCTCTCCTTACACTCATTCCGCCCCCGCTTCCTGGGTCCGGCAAACCTGCGCGAGCAAAAAATTATACGATATATCATACGTTGTTATCGGGATTGTCTTGGTTTAACCTTGTTCATGAGATTTGGGCCATTAATTATTTAGGAAAGTGTTCGTTAATAGGAATGCTAGGATTACGATTTACGAGCGGGTTAACCTTTTGATGGATGGGGTGATAAATGCTTTGCCGATTCCCAAGGTATTGAGTTTGGAGCTGGAGAGGAGGAGGGAACTGCTTGTTGGGATTTTGCCTCGGGGGGATTGTGTGCTTGGCTTGTCACTCGTTCGGATATCGCTGGATGGAAGGCTAACTTGTAAAAGGGTGTGTCCGGGGGCGATGATTAGATTGCTCTTCATGTTTCGCTCTATGATATTACATGAACGTCCCTCCTCCCCTCTCTCTAGACTTACCCCCCACTCATATACCCCAAAGGAGACACCCGCGATCCCCACGCCGTGTCTGGGCAACCCTCGAATTTCTTCTAACAACAATCTGCTCCTCAACCCCCTCAATTGCTCCGCCAATAACCCTCGTCTCTTCTTCCTCTCCTCCGCACTATACTGTACAAACTTCACAACCCCCACAGCCGGCCTCTCAAAGCCCTCAATTTACCATTACCCCCACGGCATCCCTTTCTCCAGCGCCTCCCCAACCTCCGCTCTAGCTATAGCATTCCCACAGCGGATCCCGCCGGCGCACTTCTCCAAAGCCAGCGCACGGGGGGGTGGTACCAGTACAGGGCGTAGGTGGGTAACGTGGGGCACATGAACATTGGAAGGAGGGCCTATTCCTAGGGCAGTGGGAGCGCGGAGGGGATTGTACCAAAGGGCAGAGATGGTGGGACGGGAGCTGGTGGAAGGTATCATAGGATTATGAAGACGATGGTTATCAAGCAAGTTTCGATGAGGCAGACCTTAAGGGGTGTATAGGGGATGACAACGGGTCAAAGTCCTAACGGGGCGTCAATACGTTACTGCGAGGGCCCGATCTGGTTCGAGGAGCTAAGTTTATCTTCTTTTTTACCCCCTTCCCACCCTTTCTTTCTTTCGGCAATGAGAGTCGGTAGCTTTGGAGGGGTTGCCGGATTGATTGATGTATTGTACGATACACAATTCCCATGTCTTACTGGTGGGTTATCTCATTCTCATTCTCCTCTTCTGACTACATCACGGAAATGTACTCCTCCATCCAGCCCAACACGTCAACCCTGCTGGGCCATTAATTCATTCCACCATATTATCATACTCGTGGGAGTTGACCTATATAAAAAATCAAACCCATGACCGATGCCTGGTAATACTTGGTCAGAAGAGTTTATCCCCACTAGCACATTAACCCCTAATCCTAGCATGGCCCCTGCCTTCGACCCAGCCTCAGGGAGGCTCACCGCCAACAAAAAAATTGACTCCCGAGTGATACCGGATGATTTAGCAGTTGCATGGTAACTTGCATCATACTGTATGGGTATGGTGTTGTAAGGTGGGCCCAAGAGGGCGAGGTGAAAACCTTCCGGATATCTCACTACAGATCGAAGGAGAAGGAAGTATGATATCACTTACTCGAGCTAGGGTTTTTAGGTAAGGGGATAGGAGATCTAAGGTTGATGTTTGCCAAGTTTCCGTGTGTGTAATTATTGTCAGGGGGGGGTGATTGACCCCATGGCGCATTTCATAGTTTATTCAAGCCCCGTTCGTTGTCAAAGAGGTATGGAATTTTCTCAGGAAAACAGCCATATCGCCTAGAAATGACATCTCAAAGAAGGCGGCCGTGTTCGCTGGCCAAAAACTCTGCTTTTTCCGAAAAAAAAAAGAAAACCCCCCACTTCACCCTCGAAAAAGAGGATGGGATTGAATTTCTGAACTCTGGGATTGAGAAAATCAAAAGCAACACTTTTCTATGCCAGGGACATAATATTATCATAAATAACCGCATCCTCAACGCCCCGTTCCATATATCCCCGTCCAGTGCCCCCGCCTCGATCCTATGCCTGCCGTCACGTCTTGGCCAAGATATTACGGGAGCGAGGCGAGCGCACATGGAGAAGCGGACAAGCAGGAAATCCGCGCCAACTGGAAAAGCATATCGTGCGGGAGCCGAATGGAGATGTGAGTTTATTTTTCGGAAAGAAGTTTATGGGTGAAAGGGCGAGGGGATTTGTCCAACTCTGTAGCTTTCAGAAAACCCCATCTGCCTCATTTCCTCCTCGGATGGGGTCCTTCCGCCGCTCCGCTTCAAATGTTCAACCCGAACAGGCTCTTACTGTGACTACACTTCTGGATTAAACTTTGATTTCCGCCCACGCGATTTTTTTCCTTACAGGTTGGGATTGAGATGGCCGTGGCAGTAGTGGTCTTTTCCAGAGAGTATCCCACCAACCTGTCGTTTCCGTACCGGGTGTCTTGTTGGCTTGCACAGGGCTTTCCGGAATAGATGTCATTTCGAGGAGTTCTCTTCTGTTCTCGAGTTACCTATCTCCTCAATACTTGACACTTGGGCGGTTTAGAGGAGTTCTCCCCCCCATCTCCACCGAACGTAGCAATATCGAGGATAAGCCCCGCAGTAGTTGCTCAAACTCCAGGCCCCAACCAGGAATAGCAATGGTTGGAGATGGCATGTGCATCTATCTCGCTTGGACAAAAGTGTCCTCTGGACTCGGTGGGCAAAGGGCAAGTTAGAGCCAACCACGTGATTTAGTAACTTCAAGGGGTGCTAGGGTTCGCACCTTATGCAAGCCGGTGAGGGAAAGCATCAAGTATGAGGATTTTCCTCGACTTAGAGAAGTTAGAGTTGAAGCTATGACAGTTTTAGGGGGAAACGAAAGATATTGCATGATTCCCTGGCTCGTATCGTAGCTGGGCGCAACCCAAGAATTCTGCCCTGGTCGCCAGATTACTGGCGTCCGTACGCAAAAGCATTGGGGCCCTTGACACCACCCACGCGCTCAGGCAGGTACTGTACAAGCACTGTACTGCGGCCACTTCCATAAAACCCCGTGTCCCCTGTCTATATTCACAGCAGCCCCTGGGATACCAGTACCAGAACGGGGGGGCGGGGCACCAAGGGTACTCGTCCATCAGCACACTTCCTATTCTCTATATAAGTGTGCTATACGGTATGAAGGCCTGATAGCCTAGAGTCTGGCGGCCTGTGGCATTGTTGCTCCCTTTATTGCACCGTATATAGGACTTCAACCTACCGTATCTATGGATCTCAGAGATAGCTGTGCAGCTAAGGATTTCGCTTTTCGTGTACGGTGGCTGGAGCGGAAGTTGCCGGTGAAGTATGTGCACTGCGATGCTGTAAGACATGGGGTGTTTTAGATAGAGTGGGTGTCTCATTTGTGGAACGGTGGCCTCGCGGGAAGGAAAGTGAAATTGGCTGAGGCTTAAAAAACGGTGATTGTGGTGCAATTTTATGCACCTCGAGTTACGAGTACCGTACATTCTGTGGAGTGAAGCACCGGTAAATTTCGTACAGTACTAGTACAGCATTCGAGTGCAATGAGATAGGTCACAATCACGGTGAAGGGAAATAGGGGGTGGTAGACATTCCTGAGTTCTTGCGCAGTGAATTAGCATGTGGCGAAATCAGTCACCGCTTTTCTGCTGTAACTTAGCGCCCAATGGTGTCTGTCCTTCTGGTGCCTTATGGTGTTGCACAGTGCTGTGTTGTTACAGCTGCTTCACCAAAACTTACAGGCACGATTAAATTTAACCTCCGGGGCTCGGCTACTGTAACGAGTACCCGAGTGGCATTTCGTACCATGTTAGGAACAAAGAAACTCGCCCCCCCCGTGGTTTTCCCGATTTTCGATTAGAGACCGGGAACAATGATAGTGGATCCTGTCTTCTAAACTCTGATGATAAGTGGAGTGTCAAAGGGCAGTTTAGTATTATGAATTTTCTAAAAAATTTTATTGACAAATCCCAGATACAGGACATAAGGTTGGCCTACTTTGTTGCTATGTACTGTACAGTTTTCTGTATGATACTCGAGTGGAATCCCATGGGGGGTAGCGGCCCTAGCACTGATTCTGACCCCCCTTCGGAACCCAGACCTTCGTCCCCGCAGAACAATTCCTGTAACCCGCCCGATATTCAACTATCTGGGTATTTGTGTTGTGCTCTGTCGGGAAAAATACTGGGTTTTTCTCATCCTTTGTTGCTGTGTATTATAGGTACATATTGAAAATCGGTGTTTTGTGCCGTATACTTCACTTGAATCCTGTAATGCCCCGGCGTAATGTCAGCCCCAACCTTCCCCAGGTTGTCCTCGAAGTTAAGCACTCTCCTCTACCGTACTCGAGTAGACTTGGCCTCTCTAACCCCCACATTAAGATCACCAATCCCCTAGCCTAAGGACAAATTACTCCCTCGAGTGTCATGCCGTAGCCAGTCATATGATACCTCCAGCCCATTCCGTCACCAGTAAATACTGGTCCTTCCCCTTCACTGGGGCGCACCTTATGCCTTCTGTTTGTACCATAGTAGCGATGCCTTGGCGCCCCTAATAGCCGCATAAGCGCCGAGGCAGTACGCGATATTATCGTCAGTCTAGATAGCGGGAGCCATAGGGCATATATGCTTCGGGGTAGTATCATATGTAGCTATTCGACAGCGAGGGTTTTTGTTCTGGGGGGTGAGATGTTCGAGTGGTTTTCTAATGGGAGAAATGTGGGTTGGGGGAGTGGTGGGGTGGCATGAGGCTTTTGAGTAAGGTCACACACAGAGAGGCAAGGTGTGAGAGAATGGTGGCTGGATCGGGGTGTTCACCAAGAGCCTATCGAGTGTCGCGACGTTTGCAAAACGGGCTGCCGTTGCATACTTGTACTATCAAAAAAAATTCTGAGGCTCTGGAAAATTTTTGGCTATATTCGGCGGTGGTCCGTTTTATAAACATCACTTGGTGTAGATCGTTTTTTCCCTTTCCTGCTGGGTTGGTAAGGGCTGCCTTTTGCTGGAGAGGAGATATTGACATTGTCTTAGTTAACGGCTGCAATCACAGCAACAGAATAAGAGTAGTTGGGAGGGGTGGGGGTCTCGTAAGACATTCTTACTGCCAATCAAACAATACAAGTATCTACCGGTATTGCTTCGGCAGAGCAACCCGGGACGTACTTGTACTCGTGCAAGTACTTTACAGTACGCTACCACAGAGTCTCGAGCGATTGAACCATGTGCTATGTCGGGCTTGCTATGGCACTTCCTCTAGTTATGCCTACCACCACATTTTAACTGTCTCTCCCGGCAAGGCACTCTATATTTTTCCTTCTATTTTGTCTCAACAAGAGCTAGGCTTACGGTGTTTACCCTAGCACAGCCAGCCCAAGCGGATCTACAGATCTACTCGAGTAACGTCCTAGAATGCTTCGCCCTGGTCCGGAGAGTGACCTACGGTACAAGTACTGTAGCTGCTAGAGTATAACCTCACCCGCTGGTTTTTTTACGCCCCATAATATTTTTTTCTGGTTTGTTTAACCTTAACAGGTGCTACGAATGGTAACACTGGCGGCGGTAAAGCGCTAGACTACGGTACTCGTTCACGAACAGTACGAGCAATGATGGCGGGCGCCCCCAAAGACCCACACTTTTGCTGTTAGCAGAGATATTTTGTTTTTCTTCCAAGCCAAAAATCTCCCAGCCGCCTATGATATCATATTATGGAGAAGAATTCAAATACGGTGGTACGGGTATGCTATAGGAAGTGGGGGCAGAGGCGGTTGAGCCACACCACTCGGATAGCTAATAGGGAAAGCGCACGGGCAATATGATACTAGTAGGGTGCAGCAATCACGTTAGTGTTTTTGGGAGGAGTTGGCGGGGTTCGCAGGGTCATCTACGAGTACCTTTCGTGGCATCCTAGTCATTGATAATTACCATACCTACACGATATCGACAGGACCCCGTCTTGGGGGATAAAAGTGCTTCATTCTAGACAACGTTGTGAGGACATTTCGAAACTTGTTATCACCGTACCGGTACGGTACTTTTGTCCAAGAATGCAGGGAACCTGCCATCGTAAGTCATCCTAGAGAAGTTGGGGGAGGAAAAAGAAATTAACTTCAAGCATGAGAAACGGCACAGCGCGTGTGTGTGAAAAAGCCTTCCCGTGCCCCGCACAACGTCTTCCAAGTGTCTCCAATTATGGAGCCGTCACTCGAGCACCCGAGCACCAGTATGGATGCATGCGATCCACAACTGGAGCACGGTATGTTATCTTGCCCGTTTGACCCAGGATATCTGGTCTAAACTTGCCACGCTTTTAATTCCTAGAATGGGGTGGAAAGGTCCCTTTGCGTACAGAAATTGTGCCTCGAAACATCCCTGCCTCACGGAATTTATATCTCATTGGCTCAACATCTTTTTCCCCGGGTCCCAGATAGGCAATGAGTAGAACTCAAGTGTAAGGGAACTGTCAAGCGTTGGCTAGCACACTGCTTTAGCATGCCACAACTCAGCCATATCAAATAGACCCCCCTGACCTGGAATTAGGGATAATACCGGTATTGGGCTACCTTTCCTGGTCTGGATAGCATGGCTGAGAGGTTACGGGTGGCCCACAAAAACAGAATGGTTGCTCGAAAAATGCGGGGCTAGTTTACTGATGGCTCTTATGTGAACTATATCTCCCGTGTCCTTTCACCTTTACTCCGTCGCAACTTTTCTTGCATTTATTGATCACCCGCAATACATACATAATCCCTTTCACATCCCCAACAATGTCGTATCAGGTAAGTCATTGGGCTCTGGGGCATCACAGGAAGAACCTTTACTAACAATTGCTATCATTTCTAGCAGTACGGAGTCGGCGAATATTGGCAGGGCGCACCAGAAGGGGCCAACCCAAATCCACTAGCTGAATACAATCCCAGCCCCGAGGCAGCGCACACTTCCCAATCTGGACCAGGATATAATCAAAAAGAGTCTGATCAAAGTGGTGGGCTCGGAGCATCTGGGGGGGGGATATGGGGAATGAAAAGGAAGACCTTTATAGTTGTGCTGGGGATCTTTATCATCCTTATCATCGCTCTAGCGGCAGGTGTCGGGGGGGGAGTGGCAGCGACCGTTGCGAAAAATAACGACAGGGACGCACCAGAGCTGCTAAAGTCATCTGCATCGGCAGACCCCTCATACGTACCCCCCGAACTGCAGAACCCGCAGTCCATCGACAAATTGGGTTAACTCGGGGATGGAACAGTCAATCATCGGCATCTAGTAGTGAGAGATCCGGTAGCGAGAGATCCAGTAGTGTGAGATTCAGTAGTGAGAGATTCGGTAGCGAGAGATCCAGTAGTGTGAGCGCCCGGCTAATAACTTCTACCATCTCTATCTCTGCGTCTCCCACTCCTACACCGATTCTCAAGAATACGCCGCTTGCAGCTGTCAATTGGGATAGCAGCTCTATTCAATTATTCTATAAAGACACGGATCACAACATCAGACGCCTAGACTACGATGGGTCTAAATGGGGGAAACCAACGCCACCGATCTTTAAACCTAGGGACGATTCTGGGATTGCTGCGATAAGCTGGTTTGAGGAGGGGCCTCCACAGCGACAACAGGTATGTACAGCATTAATGACTCCATCACTTCCTCATTCTAACGCTCCGTTTTAGGTACGAGTGTACACTCTGAATGTAGGCAACTCCCTAGTGGAAACTGTTTGGAATAGCTCTCAGCCCGGAACATGGGATACCAACCTTTTATCTTCAACGCTAGATCCAGCTGCAGCGGGAAGTCAATTGACGGCCTACGCCTGGAATGCAAACGGGGTGCAGAACATCCGAGTTTATTATCAAGGACAAGATGGGTACATCCGGGAGGCAGTTTACACCAGCGGCTCGGGTGCCAGATGGAGAAAGGGTGATGCGCCAAAGATAGAAGATTTCCCACAAGCAAGGAGTGGCAGTGGGTTGGCTGTTCTCTTGTTTTCGGATAGGAACCAAGCAGAAGACGCGAGTTTATATTACCAGAACATGGACGGGAAGTTGGTGTCTTATGATTACAAGAGAGCAGCGACCTTCGTAGAAAGTTGGAAGAAGTGTGTGTCACTCCACTCTATCTCCGAGATCGGACACAAGATCTCTACTAACAACCTTCCTCCAAATAGCAACCATTGACCACGGTTCCATACCAGACCGAGCACATATTACTGCTGTGGTTAATAAATCTGGCAACCAGATACTACGAGTATACTTCACCCAAGATGCGATGTTGAAGGAAATCTGGTGGGACCAGGCAGGAGGATGGAGGCAATCGTGGAGCATGGCAGTGGCGGCAGCGCCTGGCGTTGCCGCAATATCATACTCTGATGACGTTCGAGTCTTCTTCCAGCGCAGTACGGAAAACATTTCATCAGAGAGCTTGAACCGGAAGAGGAACAAATGGGAGCTCAGTTGGGTAGGGCATGGTCCGTAGGCGAAGATACTCTAGCTTATGCTGTGCACAGAAGGGCTGCGAGATGTACGATTTCATTTGTCCGGGAGGGAGTTCCGGATGATTTATGGAGAGTTCGTTTTGTTTGTCTAGTATTTGCAGCTTTATTTTGGGGTATAAAACGGCGGGGTTTTTTTCTTCCCTACAGTTCCCCCATTTATTGGGGACCACTTTTCAGTCTGGAACACGAATTTGGGGAGATATTCTTTGATATTTTCTCAAACCCGTAACTTCCAACCTCTTGAGCACTCGACTCGAGCTATCCGGAATATTCGAGCGACTTTGTTCTCTCGGGTTCGTTCAGTTTGTCAAATGTTTCGGAAATCTCAATATAACTCTACCAGCCAAGTTTTCTAGCATAGCCAGATTTATATTACAATAATAATACACCTCAAACCGGACAGTCTCTCGCCATCGGGATGTGTTGTCAGGAGGTCCGCACCGCAGTAATGTGCACTTACTATCATATCTCATGGTTCCGCTAACAATAAACCAACATTAGGAGAGACTGTAACCTAGAAAAAAGAATGGCATTTGATATATCGTAAGAAAGGGGATTAAAGGATAGTTTTACGAGAAGGTTCCTGAAATCTTTATATCCATAATATTACCGAATCACATCGCGGTCACTATTGAATAAGTCTGAAGAAGGATCCTTCTACATCTCGTTTTCTTTTTTCTAAATACCGCTAGAATGCCGTGCAGCACTGCACTGCACATGGAAGTGGAAAAAGAAAAAAGAAAACAGACAAGAAACTAATTTAAACATTAGCCAGGCAATCCTTTCATATTTTGGAAAGATCTCATCAGGTCATACTTTTTTATATACCTCCCCCATCTTGTGAGCAAAAGGGCTCACTTCTGAGTAGCGCATACAGTTTCGAGCTACAAGGCCGATGAGTGAAAACACAGCTTTCACTTCTTTTCAAGCTTTCCAAAATCTCATTCGCGGTGCTCACTTTCCCAACCGAAATCTCTCCAGCCCAGCCACGAGCAGAGTCATTCAAGTTCCCATCTTCAAAAATTAGACCACCGATGCCACCACCGGTATGATAGAGTACCATCAAACGAGCTCAAAAACCCACACACACATCCCCCAGCGCCCCCAAGACACCCCCATGGCACATACCTCCTCAACCCTCACGAATACCCAACCTACCTGTAGCTCTAGCTCGACCACTCACCACCCTATCCGCCTCCCCCCCCCCAGGGGGTTCCCCCATGAATTGGAACCTCCGCAAATCGGGCACTGTAGGACCTATTCCGGGAGAAGTACCCTTTGCGAAGGGGGTCGGGGAAAGTACAAGGGGCCGCCGGTATTTAGTTTTCGAACACGCTAGAGTGGCTTACCAGCGGAAAAATCATTAAAAACTGGCGAGGTCGCGGAGATCAATCTTTGGTAGTATAGATACACACCCAACTGTCTGCTGTCCCCTTTGGGTTAGCGCTCAGATTAGGTAATCTCCGTACCGAATCAGGGCCTGGTCTTCCGTTGCATCGGAATGTTCATGTCAAGTTTTATTATCCTGGTATCACCTGTGGATTGAGGGTCAGGGTATGCGGGGTGGAGCCCCAAAGGTTTGTACAGTACTTTGTATCACACTCTTGGGATTATGGTGAATTGACAAGTTAAGGGATTTCCATTAGAGTAATAATCTGTGCACCTTAACTTAGAGGGGTAGTATCCACTTGAAGTATCTTTCCGTTTCCTGCTTTCTATAGGTCGGACCCCCGAAGCCCAAAAGGTTCGGCTCAAAGCACTAGTCCCAAGCAAACTGATATGGTACGCATACAAAATACACTCCACTCCGCACACCCACGGAGACCAATGACACCATTCTGCATCTGACTGACTGCCTACCTGCACAGAACGTGACATGCGGTAGGAGAAAAGGAAGAAAAAGGTGAAGAAGGGCAAAGCAAGGAGTTTCATCCACGGGTACAGAAGTGTTCCCTCACCCTGCACGATATTTAGGCAACAACCTCTGACAATAAACATGTCTGTCAGGCAGTCTGGAATAATCTGCAATCACGGCATATCACTCGGTATCACAAAGACCTGTTGCGGCATGATGCGCGAAATGGTCAATAGGTGAAGATAGTGTTTCCGTGTCACTCTGCTTTTGCGAGCGTGTTGAAAATGGCAGTTAGATACCCGTGACTTGAAACTACGGTGGTGTGCGTACCTCTGGTATGAGGAACCGTAAGTGGTGAAAGGTTATCACCTCAATGGTTCCCTTTTTCTTTCTTTCTTTCTCTCTAAGTCAATCCTCTCCGCCCCTTCCGTCCTGTGTGCAGTTCTCCTCGCTTCTTTCTTGTCTCTATATACAATACAAGGTTCCCCCATCTTCATCAGAGCCATCTCCATCCACTGCGCAAAACCCTCCTTTCGATCATTACCACTGCAATACCTACCTATTTTATTTACTCCAATTTCCAACAGAACATGACCCGGAGCAAAATCCGAACCTGCGGGGTAGCCCACTATGCAATGTAAATTCTTGTGAAAGAGGTAAAATGTAGAAAGATACAACCCGCCCTGGTTAACCCCCCCTCTAAACTCTAAAAGCCATTTCTCTATTCCCTAAACACGACCTCCCATTGGCGATAACTCCCGTATCATTGCTACTCCCATAGTCTGAAAGGTCCTATACCTTGTTAACTTTCATCAGGTTGAAGGGCTCCCGCGGGGCGGAAACACACCTTTAGGTCTTGCTAACGCTCCTTGTGGTGTTTCGGGAGTAATGGAGGCTTGAACAAACTTAATGAAGGCAATCGTGAGCGTTCATATCATATGTACAGAGAAATCACTTTTTCTCTCTGCCGTACACGATTCGCCACCTTCCTCGCATGGTGGATTACCGTTGTTTCGTCTTGAGGGAGCTACATTTTAGTATGATGAGTACAAAATGGACCCAATTACACCCCCTAGCCCTCTCAATCCCCCCAACGCCGACACCCCCGCCAGCGGTCGAAATAGCGGAGCCCAGCGAACTTGTACACACCCGGTCGACTTGCAAGAAACTAGCCGACGCCTGGAGGTGCTCGCTTCTGGAAACGCTCGTCTTTAAAGACGGTTACGGCGCGCCGGTGCTCGCTCGGGCACAAGAACGACAAATCCTCACTGCTGCCTACCACTTTTGGCGGGTCGTTCGCAAAACGAGCTACATGTCGGAGTTGGACGACCTCGCGATACTCAAAGTGGCGGAGCTCGTCGAGTTATTCCTGGACCTAAGGATTCTCGAAAAGATGGATGATCGGGTGCAGGTTCTCACGGCGAAGACTTGCCTGTAGAATCGTAATCGTGCAAAGCAATCGCGTTTGGGAGTGTGCGTGTGATGGATCTTCGGTTGGTTAGGGAGCGGTTTAGGGAGTAGAGTAATGAATGAATGAAGAGGTTTACCTGTTTTCTTTTTAAATATATCATAAATAAATCTGTGTTTGCTAGAGGTTGGCGTGAATGGGTAAATATAATGTAATGTAACGGTTTCGCTGGTCGCACTTCAAATATACGTTCATTTACCGGGGGTCTTTCAGGGAATGGTGATGTTAGGAAAGCCATCTCGCCTAGGCAGGATACGGGTAAACATAACAACCCGCTGCGACACTGCCATACCGTACGAAATCGAGATCACAAGAGAAAGAAAGCGACCACCGACAAAATTGATTCATTATTCCAGCGGTACCTGTAGCCAAAGGTAGACTAACGCAGTCATCGCGTCGATTAGTGTTCTGAGGATGGGGGCTCAGGCAGGGATTCCATGGAGGGGTGAGGTGCAGTACTAGCAGAGGCGGGGGTTGGAATGGGGGTTAAGGTGTAGTAGTGATGATACCATGGGTTCTAATTCAAAAGAGTTCTGTGGTCTAATACTGTATTTACTCTGTCGATTCGCTATCTCCGAATATAACCTTCGTAGTACGCTCACGAACGATTGTTGATAAGGCAATGCAGCTCTCAGCAAAAGATTATTATTAGGTCACGATCTCTTAGAGGATGGTGGCGAACAGGGGTGCTTCAAGGGATAAGGTGGAGTCGCCAAGGTTAGGGTTACAAAAGATAACTTGTAATTAATCCCTATCGCATCATAAGTATCGTAAGATGCAGCGTTTGTACGAGTATAGCCAGCGATGAGTCCAGTCCACAGCTTCGAGAAGGTAATTCCCAAAGTCGTATCCGGCGTCGAGGCCATCTAACCCCCAGTTTGCCCCTAAAAAAAAAAATTAATAATTCCAAACACTACCTACTCGAGTACAATACTCGTACACCACCCTCTCCTCTCCTAGAAATCTATTTATCAGGGATAGCTCTGCGCTTCAGGATTTGTCTCCTGGATATGACCCGGAGGTTTTCTAGGTCGAAGACGACGCACCCCTGTGGGTTGATGCCGGGGGGGGGGGCAACCCCCAGCAAAGAACTCATCAAAAGTACCGATAATACGGAGGTATAGCCCCTAAGTATTGTATATTTTACTAAGGACTGGTGTTCCGCTGGCGGGGGTCAGTGAATGAATAGGGTAGTCATCATACCCAATTCCATGCTTCTGCCCACGCTAGCCAAACCCCCATTGCTAGTAAAGTATACAATATTTAGGGGCTATGCCTCCGTA